TCATTCAAAAGCTAATATTAGTGGCATTAACAGTCACATATTAATAGAAAACCCACTGAATAGTGCTTTTTTCCCCTTTCAGTATGACACTAAAGACCCAGCTTATATTGCAAATATGTCATCAAGTAGTACAACCTTTAAGGACCCAATTATACCATCCTCCTACTCACCCCCTGAGATGGAACCAGTGCCGAGGGATTATGGTGATCTTTATGTGGCAGTATTAATCCTTCCTGTCGTTATAATCCTGATAATAGTCATTATACTTGCTATCATTATGTGTTGTTTCCGCCAGGGCAAGTAAGTATACTCATTCTATCCCATGGTTCCTTGCTGTATTGAAAGATTTGAACCTGTTTTAAAAGCTTATTTCAATTTAAATCTTTTTTTTTTTTTTCACAGAGACAAACGTGACGCTGCAACACCACGGTAAGTCCTAGAACCAAATAGGATCGCCTTTATCTGGGGGCCAAAACACTGGATAGAAAAAGTCTTCTTCTGTCCCCCAGATGAACCTGCTGTGACGTCACATGGTCGTTTTTACGGGTTAAATGTCTTCATTAGTTTTAATAGTATTGCTTTATTTCATTACTTTAGCCCTCAGCTACAGTACCACGACTCGATACTGCGAACTACGTTTCAGTTACGTAGGATGGATAGCGACAATCCGGACGTTACGCGACGTAACAACGGTCAAACCCCACGACCTGAATCACCRGTTCGAAATACGTCTACACCATATGAACGGTTAGCGATTGCTTTATTTTTCTCATTCTTTTGTTCTCTTTATTCCTACTTTCTACCATTTGTTTTACGCCAAGCCTAGTACCCAGGCTTTTTCCGTTTCTCAATCTTGCATTACGTCACAGACTCTATGACAAACGTCATGGTCTATGGACTAGTATTTCATTATTTCGTTGTCTCACTTWTATATTTCAGGACTGTTACTCCTGATGAGGAAGATTCTTCACCACGTGGTGCCCCACCCCCTTATCGCCTGCCACCACCAGCAGCGGTCAGTGTAACCACCCCAAATGGAAGCCAGTTTTACCAGTCGTCAGCATAAAGAATGTCGGGAAAAATGATCGTACGGAATTGTGGGATAAACAGCGTCAATTGGAAGGGATTCTARGTGTCTCTCTATAACTTCGTTTTATATCAGACGATAAGTTTTGAATTGTGGAAAAAACTGAAACTGAAAAAACTGACCGGAAGCGTGATTTCATAAAAT